CAACACCCAACCCCCCCCCCCCCCCCTTGTTCCCTTTCACATCAGAAGCCCTCTTCACATCAAAAGCGCCCTTCACATCAAGGGTCCTCTTCACATCAGAAGCCCTCCTTTCACATCAGAGTCCCCCTTTCATATCAGGATCCCTCTTTTCATCAGGGTCCTGCCAGCATTATGGAAAGGCATGATGCTGTGCAAAAATTCTGAGGAACTCCTGAGGAAGGCAGAAGGCTCCCCAGGGTACCATGGCACCTTGACTGCTCAAGACACCCCTCCCAACCAGCATGGTGATGTCATGAAGGGTACAGTGCATTTCATCAATATAGCTTGATGCACATGCAGAGGTTAACTTTACTGAAAACTGCTTATCAAGCCAGTAGATCTTAGGCTTGTTAGCTAGGAGAGGTGAGGCCAAGCTTGACTTTTACAGTTAAGATTTGCATGTATCTTAAGCTGCCTATATCTCTGGATCCACTAATTGTTTTAGCTATCAATGCATGTTCCATTTAGTTACTACTCATATTATTGCTTGCTTATCCGTTTTTTTTTCTACATACAATATTGTTATTTAGGTGTATGTCATTGCACATGTTCCTATTGGCTACCTACCATTTACAGAAATGATACCTGCAATGAGAACCCATTTCAACGAGAGGCTGGTGGAAATCTTTTGCGACTATAATGACATTATTGATGGACAGTTTTACGGACATACTCACCGGGACAGCATTATGGTTGTTCTGGATAAAAAAGGTGACTTAACATAGAAAAATACCTTTAATAATATTTTATTGCATTTTGTGATTTGTTGTATGACTGTACCTTTCACTAGAACCACATTCCATGAGCTATTATCTATAGAAAGAGAAAACTATTTTTTTGTTGCTGTAGGTTGTGAATTAACATTAGTATTCCAAGATTGGACAGATTGTTTTGAGTTAATGTGCTCTTTAGTTATCACTACATGAGTGATAATGAAATTAATTAAAATCGGTTATCACTGCTGAAAATAACTTTTTTTTAAAACAAGTATTCTTATCTGGTGTAATGGCTTTGTGAATTTAGACTTAAGGAAGAACGCTAGACATATGAAAGCTTAACCCTTGCAGTAGGGGGTTGCCCCACTGTAAGAGTTAAAGAAGAACTATGAGGTGAGTGATTTTCACTCACCTCATAGTTCGAACAGACGTTTGACAATGATACTGTCACACGTCGGCTCAATAGATCGGGAAGTGAGCGAACACATACCGTCGCTCGCTCACTCCTCGATCATGTCCCTGCAGAGAGCCGTGACTGTCATTCACGGCTCCCCGCAGGGATTCCCCCCGCGCCGCTCCGATCCTCCCGCGCTGGGTGGAGGAACGAACGGGGGAGGGGGTGGGTACAGCTGGCTCAGCCTCTAGATAGGCAGAGCCAGCTGTCAATCACACAGCTGGGTGGATCTCGACAGTAATGTCGGGATCCGTCCCAGCTGCGGCTGTCTCAGAATACCGCGAGCTGTAGCTCGCGGTATACTGAGCTTTGGGTTGTGGGAGGATGTTAGTTTATGTCCTCCCGCGACCCTGAGGAGAACTATGGGGAAAAACACTTACCCCATAGTTCTCCTTTAAGTACTAAAATAAAGAAGATACACTCCATTAATCCTTCGCCCCACGTTGGTGACCACTCACCCTTCTCCGCCTCCACTTCAGCGGGGTATGTCCCTTGGTGTCCTCGCATCTAATATACTGTATTAGGCATGATGACTCACAGATCCTTGGACCACCAGAGCCCAGGGGACCGATCTAGAAGCCAGACTGGACTGAAATTTGGGTGAGCATTTCTATTTTATTTTAGACCCTAGACCAAAATGAGCACTTAACCCTGGCACTGTGGGGGTAGCCCTGCTGCAAGGGTTACTTTTTCATATGCCCGGAGTTCTTCTTTAAAGCTAATTTCTGTATTGGGTAGTTGGGCTCTCACCATTGCACATAATGGCCCACTTGGTGTTCCCCCTGCAGTGGTGACAGGTCCAGGCTCTAGTTACCACCCCAACGTTGCCACCATCTTCCCTGCTGATTATTCTGGGTCCCTTAATGTATCTCTTTGGCCATTGGATATCCAGTGGTGATGTTACACCTGTGAATGTGTATTTCCTTGTCCATGGCATCTAGCTCTATGCCCTGAATGTCAACAATGAACTGTGATGTTCTCTACACAGTGCACCTGATATGCTGTGTGCATAGTAAAAGAAAAACTGCAAGGATTAAGGGGAAATGTTTTTTGGCATGACTATGCATGTCCCTTTTACAAAAAAAACTCTATTCCCTTGCAATTTTTCATAGTGGGACCTTGGTAAGTAATAATGTTGTGTAATGTTGGGGGGAGTTAAAAAGAGAGGTAAAGCAAAACCTTTTTTTTTTGGCTTTACTTCTCTTTTGGGTCACAGGTGTACATTTACTAATAAACTCATTTGATCCAAAGTAGAGCATTTACTAATGTATTCCTGTAAACCAAAGTCAGCTGACAACACAGAGCCGTGCCGCATTTGAGATGGATCCTAACAATATTGTTGGGATCAAACACAGCTGCCTAATTGATTCCTCTCTGCGTGCAGCTGAGAGTCAGAGCCAGCCATGCCTGCCTTCTCTCTGGCCTGCAGCTCCAGCCAGTGATGAACGGAGGAAGATAAGGGAATCTCTACAGGGTGTAGTGACTGACAGTCAGTGCCCTCATAAGGGAGCAGAGAAAGAGAGCTTGACTGATTAAGGGTGAACAGTCGGCTCTCTATAGAGCTGGCATTTGACAGCTGCAGTGTCCAACACTGACTCTAATTAATTAAGGGTGTTAAGAGAGTGCTTATGTGTTTAACTTCATACTGCCCAGTCGTTGTAATTTAAATGGCCGGACAGCAGACTCTTAACGGCGGGTGGCCATTTTTGATATCTTTTTCCACTCCTGCTCCCGTACACCTCCCCCCCACATGCAAGCGGGGCCGGGAAACATGATGGCTGTTACATACAAGTGTTCAGGTGGCTATAGAGCCGCCCGAACTCTTATATGGTGCAGGAAGTGTGCGGTCCCCCATTCTGCTGCCACTGCCGGCTATTCCGGGCTCCATTGTCCTCCCAGCACAGCTGATCTCTGCACTTTCTGACCTAGGGTTCCTCCTCACTATAGAGGATCAGAGGAGCCACCTTTAAACAGCAGCATTGCCAGCCTGTGAAGAGAGTAGTGTTAGATGCTCTAGCAGCTTTAGATGGACCAGACTAAAAACTTAAATCTGAACTAACACTTTTTACTTCTTGCTGTCCGGAGAAATGTATTTTGCATGCATATGATAAAGTCTGAATTTTTGGCTAGAAAACAGCTTCAAACTCCCAAACAACTCTATACTTTCTGAACGCAGAGGCCCTATAGAATAAAAAAAATGCTGGTTGCAATTTGTTATGTTGTATGGTATTTGCGCAAATGTTTATCAAATTTTAAGGATAAAATATACAAAAGAAATGCATAAATGTAATACCCAATTTTTGGCTAAGATATAAAAGATGGGGTCACATTGGGTTAATAGATAGCTGCGGCAGCTGTGATCTTGGTAAAACTGCTTCAGGATGCCACCGTTTATCTACGTTAGGCGGTCCTGAAGCAGTTAAGTAGTTACAGCAACAGGTTTTTTTCATTTTAGGATAAAAGTTTTCCGTAAATGAATAAAAGCTGACCATTGTAAGCAGCCCTGTCAGTGTTAAATGGTTCTCAACCCTCTATCTGCCACTTTTGATGGACAGCTTGGTATGTTAAAGGAAGTTGAAAAATAGCAGACTTACTGGCCAGATCAGGTGAAACTAAAGGAAAAGGGTATATAAAAAGCAAACTAATGCAGCTACCACATCTAACAATTGGAAAGCTGCGATATATATTACATTTTTTTTTCTTTTGTGTTGAGATACAATTTACAGGGTTATTCACAAAAGGATGAAGAGGAGGGAGATGGCAGGAGAAGTGAACAATCTAGGACAACATAGCTGATTTGGAAAAAATTTCCAATTCAGCTCACTTTCCAGTTCAGCTATGTTGTCCTAGATTGTTCACTTCTCCTGCCATCTCCAGACTCTTCATCCTTTTGTGAATAACCCTGCTAATGTTTAGGGGGTACAGAATTTCCATTTACAGAACAATATCACACACATTTACATGGGAATCAGTTAATTGAATTGCTTGCCAGCTTTTCTCAAAGAATAGATTTCTCTTCAATAGTTGATCTTTCCCTTTCATATAACATGGCCTTTCACATGGACTCTCACAGCCATTTGTGCTACATTAACCAGTTGCTGACCTGGCTGTTAAACCCCCTTCCTGTCCAGGCCATTTTTCAGTATTCAGCACTGTGGTACTTTGACTGATATTTATTCAGTCGTACAACGCTATATAATGAAACAAGGACCGAACATTTTTAAAAAATAAAACGTTTTTTTCTAGGTTATGTTATCAAACATGTATTATTACCCAATTTTTTTGTAATATATAAAAGATGGGGACAAGTCGGGTAAATAGACACCAAACATGTCAAGCTTTTAAATTGTGTGCGCCTGCGAAATCGCAAAATACTACCATGCCTAAAATTGTCCATAGGCGATGCGTTAAAATCTTTTGCCGCTCATCAATTTCGTGTTATCAGTGATTAAGGTCCCTAAAAATATTGCTCATACTCTGACGTTCGTGGCAATATGTAACATGCGTGGAGTAATTGTTGATTTTGCACGCAGGCGCATTCAACGCATATTTACGTTTATAAGTTCGTGCACGCAGGTGCGGGGGACTTAAAAAAGTTTGTGGGTGTTTTATTTTTTTAAATATGAGACTTGAATTTGTTTTTTTTACTTTTTTTTTCTAAACTTTTTTTTACACTTAACTTGATTGCTGTCACATAGGGGAATAAAATTTCCCCTATGTGATAGCCAAAAAAAAATGACAGGTCCTCTTTATGGCAACATTAGGCGTCGCTAGGACCCCTGATGTCACCTGGGGACCCCCAAAGAAGCCGAGGAAGCAGAGAGCTGCTTCACCAGCTTCTTTTTTTTGCTAGCAGCTAGAGAAATGACAGCTAAAGGCAGAAGTGATGTAATAGACATCGCTTCCAGCCTTTAGAGAGAGAAGGAGGAGAGTTCAACGGTAGGGAAATGCTGATCTCTCCTCCTCTCTACTAGTAGCCGCTGTGTCGGTGTTCTCAGGCCCGGGCACCGCAGGGGGGACAGCGGTGACCGAGATAACCGGCAGCGGCAACAGGGGGGGGCGGCAGCAGTGGGGGGGGTCCCGCACACTGCAGGGTCATACAAGCGATTGGCCGGCTATATAGCCGGCCGAATGCTTGTATGTAACAGCCAGTAATGGCCGTTTACCTTTCTGGTAACATTTGGGGGCGCGCGCTATCAGGAAAAAAATCACGTACATGTACGTCCACCCGCCGGAAAGCGTCCGCCCGTATTTTTACGATGGGCAGATAGCAAGACGTTAAGAGAATCTACTGGAGAAGCATGCCATAACATAGGGCTAAGTAGTTGTTGTGGCAGTTACTGTTGGTTAATCTAGGAACTCCTATGATAGACCTCATCACCAGTGCTTGAGTGATGTAAATAAGTCAGCACCTAATTCAGCTTACTAACATGAAAACAAAACTAAAATATACATTTTGGTGCATCTAGCCTTTAAATTCATCTGTAGCAAATATTTTATAATGAATAATTTCAAATTAAATATTGCACACTATTTCAGAGAATCCAGTTGGATCAGTCTTTGTTACACCAGCTGTTACACCCATTAAGTCTGCATCAGAGAAGGAGTCCAATAACCCAGGATTCCGTCTATTCAAGTATGATACCAGCTCCTACACTTTACAGGTGAGTCCAAATGAATGCATCACATACCTCACTCAAGTGAATCATAAATATAAACAAACAACTGACCATGAAGAAACTTTATTATTTTTCTTAATACAAAGTTATTAGTTATTACTTGATTGGCTGCTGTGGACAATACTTTTTTTCAACAATTTTCATTGTTTAGCTCCCGCTTCACTTGGAGCAGTTTTATATAGTATGAAAACAGTCTATTTTATCAGCTTAAGGAAATCCGATACTTTCACGTAACACCACCCTTCCCACGCATCTACACATGATCACCTTCTTTTTATTTCCCTTCTGGAAGTGAAGAGAGGAAGCCCACTGTGAGCTTACACAGGGCTGAGTACTTTGTTCCCATCACTATGTGACTGAACTGTGTTTACGGTCAACCAATCATCAAGCACTAGCACTGTAATGTGGGAGAAAGCAAAGTAAGTTACCTACTCCTTTTACATGGAAGTACTGGGTATTTGTGTTCCTTCTTTGCAGCCAGAGCAGCAGAGGTGTAAAAGGAAGGTAAATAGGTGTGGCTGGAAAGGGTGGCAGTTAAAGCGCACCTTCACTCCAAAAACAGACTTTTCCACGCTGCAGAAAAAATGTAAACAAAAAATTGCTTTTTTAAATAGGGGGGGGGGATATTTTTAAATAGGGGGAGCCCTATTTAAAAGTGCTATTTTTTTGTTCACATTTTTTTTTTTACTCCAGTCCACCCCTGCCTCCATTCTTGCTTGGCATGATTGACACATCACAGGCTCCTGGGATATCCCAGTCATGTACCCCAGGAGGCTACAGAAGTAGGGACATATAGTGGCTGGAGGGTGGCCCTGGGTGGGTCATCAGGGGTTGTGAAGTTCTCTTTAAGAAAACTTTGTTCTGCATGGGCAAAGTGTAGGGTCACTTTGTGTTAGAGACAGTTTGGGGGGCATTTATTAAGAAAATTAGCAACACAGCTGGATGGAAATTAGGCTGCTTCTCATTCAGCAATAGATTTACAGTTTATTTATGACCCCCTACACTGTGATCCTGGGGAGTCAACTGCAACAGATTTGAACAGGTCTGCAACAAATGTATTACTGTATATCAGACAGATTTTCACTCTAAACAGACACATATTTAAGAAATGGCCAGGGTTAGGTCTTATTTTTTCACAAGTGCTACTTAAGTACAGTTGAGGGAGGAATGTATGACTCATGTTACCTAGTAGTAAATCTGTAGCACAATCAATCTCACTGCTCCTGTTTAGCATTGTGCCATAGAACTGATAAATGCCCCTCTCTGTATCAGTGTCAATTCACAATGTTTTACAATTACATTCTTTATATAGAGCAAAAATGTACACAACACTTTACTCATTGTATATTCATATTAGTACCCAGGGGAAGCCCACACAAGCACAGGGAGAGCAAACTCAATGGAGGTAGTGTCCAGGTTGGGATTCAAACCGAGGATCCCAGTGCTGCCCACTATTGTTCATCTCATGATAGTTATCGCACTATTATGTTTCGTTCCCAATAATACCTATTATTTTGGGTGTAATTATAATGTTTTCTGCATGAAAGGTAACTATTGAAAGTCTTTGAAAAATTGGCATTTTAGCTCTTAGGTTGACATTTTATAACCCCCCTTCAAATGGTTCCTTTTCCTGTTTTCCTCTTTAGACACTTCAAAGAACCTCAATGTTAAACATCAGTGAGCTACAAATTAGCAATACAGGAGCAAACACCAGTGTAATCATTGACATGAATTGAGTATTACATCCAAAATACTGAAGATAGATACTTTAATAGAGTAATATGCAACACTTTCAGGAGATCCTTGCAATAAAACCTTTTGTCATAACAAAAATACTACATGCGTAGCTTTTAAAAACCGGGGCGATTGTGTTGGAACAGTAGCACGCCATCTCTTATTATGTCTGTTTCCATGATGCAGACAGAACTCCTCTTCTATTGTTCAGTAACTGGCTGTCAGTTTCTATTAAGGTGCTCATACATGGGTAGAAATGGGCAAATAGTTTTTTACCTTTTCTGCTGATGTAATAATAAGAAAGGAAACCCAGCAAATGCAGCAGATTTCCAGGATTATGTTTCTATATGTATTCTGCTGTGTCTGGTAATACAGACGGTGACCAAGTTACAAACATACGACTTACATACGACTCCTACTTACAAACGGAGGCTATTACTGTACATACGACTCCTACTTACAAACGGAGGCTATTACTGTACAGCAGGGAGTCCCAGGCCGCAGCCAAAGCCAATAGTTATTTTAATTGATGTTGAACATCAGGAGTTAAGGATATGGTTTATGAAGACCACATCCACACATTTACAATATGTGGTAGTATGACCACTTCTGTTATTTCCTTAACTAGCACTACACCAAACACCTCAGGTTGGCCAATTTGTCAAATAAAGCCTAGATGGAGCTTTACTATTGGGCTACACCATCTGCCTGTCTTATCTGTTTGCTACCCGTTAGATGAGAAAGACAGCTGTAAAAGAACAAATTCAGTATGTTCTGTCAACTGATCTATAGGAATATTTGTTTGAAGAAATAATTTCATTCTGAGAAAATCTATAACTTTGTTAATGAACCCTAAGCCATATTTATGTTTTCATTTCATATTTGTATGTTAATCATAGGGATAGTTAAGTTCAAATATTGAAAGCAATCTATCTTTAGGGAAAATATGTGGCCAGGCAACAATAGCTGCATACATGAAGCTCTACTGGTACACCCGAATATCAGGAACAACCATGGAAGCTTTCTCTCTCTGTGGCCTCCCTCACTGACCAAGAGGAATGTGTGGAAGCTGGGCAGTGGTGGAAAATCTTCAAAAGCGAAATTTCTTTTGTTTAATTACAGATTTGTGAAAAAAATACAATAATAATTTTTCTTTTCTTTTAAGGATTTATGGCATTACTATTTAAATCTCACTGATGCAAACTTAAAACAAGAAGCTACCTGGAAGCTGGAATATATTATGACCAAACAGTACAGTATAAAGGATCTCAAGCCTGAAAGCTTGTATGAACTTGCCAAACAATTTCAAAAGCCAAACAGTATCGAATTCCAAAACTACTACAGGAATTACCTAGTAAACTTTGATGCACCTGAGGGTTGTGATGAAGCATGCAAACGGAGGCAGTTATGTGCAATAATGCATGTTGATTCAAGCTCTTATTTTCATTGTATTGTTGATCGTTTTGAACATGATACAGAGGGCATGCTTAATTCTTTCATGACAGCATAGACAAGTTAGCAATTAGAACAGTAAGTTAACAAAGACAAAGGAAAATGTATATAAGTTCCTGAATCAGAATGTAGCCATACATTTGCATAAGTAATGGTTTTATTACATTATATTCCTGTTGTCATGCCTCATCATTGATACTTAACATCTTCTGTCATCATGAACTAACATACACGTTTAAGAACATCATCATTTTCAATTCAGTTTTGGCTAAATGTTTGGCATCAAACTAGCCTGTCCCTGACCTTTAAATTAAATAAAACATTTACTGAGAGAATGTGATGGCTGCCCTTGCTATGCTCTTCTTTCAAAATGCTAGTTTCTTGGCTGTTATGCTGATCCAATAGCTTAGATGTAGTTCACACGTTCTGATTGCATTCAGACTTTCTAATCTTCATACCTGTTCAAGATCAGTGACTGAAAGCATTGCAGCCAGAGGCAGCTAGGAAACCAGCATTTTTAGAAGAACATCAGCAATAGAAGCTTTCATATTTCTCTTACTACAGGTTTCCTCATCGGTTTTCCTAGGATGGGTTTCTTCTCAGTCCAAAGAAAGTTAGAGCAACAGAATTTCCAGGCATGCTTGTAAAAATATTACAAGACCATTTCATGATCCTGCATGCCCTGATGTTACATGCAGCCTGTTGATATTATGTGTTTGCACTATATTTAAATACTTATGTCTCCTTATCCTCTCTACTCTACCCTAAGAAAACATGTGAAATGAATGTAACCCTGAAATAGGGAAAAAAGTAAGAAATATACTTACTTTACACCTCGGTTTCCATGTCACTTAGGTCAAAGGAGACATCACAGACCTTCTGGTGAAATTCTGGGAAAGCCAAGGATTAAAAATCTTGTGAGAAGATACTCCTGCACTGTGCTGCACAGCAGACCACGTGTTACCATGTGTGCCAGGAATGCATGGTAAAACAAGCATATTGTAATGCACTGAATTGGGCCTAAAAGACAACCAGTGGTGTATTTTGGTTTTGTGCTGCCCTCGGCAAGACTAAACTCAGACACCCCCTCAACCTAAATTTGCCCCACCCCATCCTGTTTAGGTAATTTTGCCCAACCTGTCAGTCACTGGATGCAACACACACGGGGTCTCAGGAGAGCTGTGCATGGTCTCAGGTGGGCTGTACGGGATCTCAGGAGAGCTGAGCAGGATTTATGGTGGGCTGTGGGGGGGTCTATGGTGGGCTGTGCAGGGTTTCAGGAGGACCGTGCATAGTCCCTTTCCCTGCATACATGTGCTGCTCATCTTACCTGCAGCTCAATAAGTGCTATCAGTACCAACAGAATACATTGCAGTCCCCAGACTGCTTCCTGACATCCCGCCATCAGATCACATGCTATGGCCGGCCCCGAGCCACCCGCTGCTTCTCCTCCACCTCCTGTACAAAGCCAGCTGGACCGCATCTCACTGGGCCCTCCTCTCCACTGGGCAGCTCTCTAATTAGGCAGCCACTCTTAGGGGCTTTGCAGCCGCTTAGTTTGCCTCATTAGGCAGGCACCACTGCCTGATTCTGTGCCGTCCAGCCTCGGCCCACTGGGCATGTGCCCAGTATGCCCAAAGGCAAGTCCGGCCCTGTCAATATCATTGGTTAGGGGCGGCGTTTTCTGCCACCCCCCTGGAAAGTGCCGCCCTAGGAAAATGCCTAATTTGCCTTGGGGTAGATATACCCCTGATTCCCACCCTCCGAGGACAACGTCACTAAAAGTGAAGCTGCCCTTTAAGTGCATTACATATTGTAGCAAAGACTTTACTCCAAATTCAGTCAGAAACTTTGGACTGTTTCAGGCACCATTAGCAAGCTGCAGCTATTGCCAATATTACACAAAACCCAGCCTGGTAGATATATTTCTAAATTAATTATTGTTCAGGGAATTCTTACCTTCAGTTGGTGTCTTTATGATTATATTGATTGAAGCGGGTTATAAAAAAAATACAGATTTTATAAAACTGTTTAATTTTGATTTTACCAAAAAAATATTTTATAAAAACAACTATATTGTATCCATGTACTCATTTGTGGAGTATTCATTTATTAGGAATCCAAAGAGATTTCTTTAAAATACAGCGTTTGCTTTTTAAAGATCTAATTCAGGAAGCATGAAAAGGTGGTTAGTGCAGTTCTGTTGTATGGTCCTCTAGGCCAGGGGTTTTTAAATTATTTAATCCAGGGACCAAAATATGAAGGTTGTTACCATCCTAAGACTCAAGAGAAGGGAAATCCACAAAAAAAATAAAATAAATCACAATGGCTGTATAACATGCTGCCAAGGCCCTTCACCATTTCTGTCATTTTTAGGAAATCCAAGAGAAATAAATTGTTATATTTCTTTTTTGTTTTTACTTGTTCACTAGCACCAGGGTCTCTTACTTCGAACCTTGCCCTTCTAGTTACCTCTGACGCCCCCTCCACCTTGTACACTCTCTAGTCCACCGTGTGATCGTGGGTGCAATGCTTTAGCACCTGCAGGTTCTCTCTCTCGTCCATGTCCATACCTCAGTACGAACATTCAGCAAAAGGGACAGGAGAAAGAATGAATGGACTACAACTGCAGTGACATCACCTTACTTATATTCCATTGAGAACAAGTTCCTCAGCCGCAGTGGCAGAAGGAACTTGTATTTTCTCAATCCATAGATCCTATCTATGGATTGAGAAAATGATGACATGGCTGTGTGGGCTGAGCAACACACAGGTGGGATGGGGGGAAGGTGTTGATGTCACCATGCTCCATGTTAAAAAGTCATAGATCCTGTAGCACTCCTTACCCGAAATCCCAAAGAGAGTAAATGGGTGCTTGGAATGACAGCGGATGGCGCCGCACACAGAACAACTTTGAATGTAGATGTTACCAGCACGACAAACTCATAAGTCAGTGCAAATCCATTTAATGATAGATGTCACTCGGAATATCAAGTGCTAGGAACATGTCTACTCTGAGCCTGATGAAGGGGACCCTGTGTGGCTAGATACTCCAAGTGACATCTATCATTAAAATTAAATGGATTTGCACTGACTTATGAGTTTCTGTCGTGCTGGTGTGCTGGTGACATCTACATTCAAACATGCTCCATGTCAGACCCTGAACATGGGTGAACAAACAAAATTTTTGTTTCACCCAAAAAATTACACACAAAATTACACAGGGAAAAGGATTGGTTGTTATTGGTAACAACTCCACATTTGATTTTATTTTCTCTTTCTCAGGTGTAAGGCCCCATTTACATTATGAGTTGTGGTAAAGCATGTGCATTAAAGCAACATGTTATCGTGCATTAAAATGCACCATGATAACACACCCTATTAAATTAAATGTTCTAGTAGCATATCTTAACACATAGAAGAATGGATGCAACCCTTTTTTTTAACACAGCACACCACGATGCACAGCATGTGCATTGTGGTGTTTTGCAGAGAAGGTGCATCATTTGCACCAGAGTTGTGTGTTTCTATGCATTGTGATAAGTCTTGTGAAATGCTTGTTTTTCCCTGCGTTACTGCAATGCAACAGTGTGAAGTAGACATGTGCACTGACAAAAAAATTGTTTTGTTTCGTTTTGATTTGGATTTTGTGTTATTTCGTTTTTCGGGATTCGGGTGTGAAAGTCAATTGGGATTCGGAATTCGGAACAAAATTTGTTAGCGGTAGTTTGTTCGAACGTTCGTTTCTTATTCGTTTCGTTCATTCGTTTGTTCGGTGCAGCAAAGTGACATTTCAGGGAAAACATTTTTTTTTCTCCTTCTCTAATGTCACTTTGCTGCAACGAACGAATGAAACGAATAGGAAACGAAAACGAAACAAACATTCCAACGGACTACCGCTAATGAATTTCAGAAATGGAAATTCGGATTCATTTGCATTCGTTATATCTGTAATTCGGGATTCGGATACATCCGAATTTCCGAACATTCGTCCGAATTTAGTTTCGGAACGAATCGCACATGTCTAGTGTGAAGGCAGCCTAAGTAAAACAGAACCAATGTGTGTAGTTTAGGTACTATGTCAGGCATCAATGAGACATTAACTTTAACAAATCAACACAGAAGGAAGAGAATGGGGCTTTTAGGGTACCAAGTGACAAAAACCAAGCAATTACAATATGATAAAACAAGGTTTCTTTATTATACAAATGTTTAAAAAGACATAATTGATATGTACAAATTTCAAAGAAGAAAAGAACAAACTGATCTCCAATTAAACTATTCCAGAATTATAATCTGAGGCTAAATGACCATAATACACAAATTTGATGTAACATGCTCTTGTACCCATACAGCACATAGATGCCTCTTATATCAGGAATATTATTTTTCTCAACATGTTTCACACTCAAAGCGCTTTCTCAGGAGACTTTTACTTTTCTATCTGTGTTGATTTGATATACTAGGGGTGTGGTACCTTATATTCAGAAATTGGTCACGATAATTTGACTGAATTAACTTTAACAAGTTGTGTTTAATACTGCTTTCAGGAACCCATAAGGCTATAATATTCAGCTGTTAGTAACAGATGATCAATCTAAGAAAAGAAGAGCAAAAAAATCAAGTTTGTAGAAAAACATTTCTGTCAAGTATATTGGAATATGATGCATATGCACATGCACATGCATATATAATCTCACACACATAGAAATGTAATTGTTAAATATTTGCAGATGAATAAATCTGACATGAATAACAATTAATTACAGGTTGTTTTTACTTGTAATTGATTAGAATCTGGCCAGTTACATCATCTTACTAATGCAAATAAATGTAATATCTGCACATTTATTTATTGGCCATCTTTGTGGGCATCACATTTCCCTGAGGATATGCCATTAATTTTTTTATACTCTGAAGAATGTCGCAGCAGAAGTGGATCTCCCAAAATTGTCATGACTACAATTGCAGTCAGAGCTATCAACATTTCTGGGTGGGCTCCAGAGTTTTATGTATACCATTTATCTTTAGTATTATGAAACAGCAATCAGGAAATTTTCTGTCACTATAGCTGCAAAACTGCACTCCAAATATATCTTATCAGAAGTATTTTATCCCTCTTTCTCCTAATCATCCATGGAGGAATTCAATATAAGAGTGCAAGGATGCCAATGTATGGCTGCCTGAATTTCTGTGGGGGATACCTATGAAGGCAACAGGCCAGAGAATGGTGAGAGCAGTAGCAGTACTGCAGGCAAATGAGTACTTACTGGGGCACTAATGGATAATTTTACTTTACTGTAGTATACAAAATAAAACAAAGGAGGCTTTAGCGATACTCCATGGTAAATGTACTATATATACGAATATCCCCAGGTCCAGATTTACTCTCTCTGCTGCCCAAGACCAGGTACCTCAATGCACCCCCCTGTATGCAGGCTGCATCGCCAAGATTACTTGTACAAAACAAGCGGCAGCTTCCCCGCTGTACATTTAATCCCTGCTTGCCCAAAGCAGGGCTAAATGTAGAAAACAACTACCCACCCGGCAACCAGAACTGGGCGTCAGGAGATAGGAATTCCACACCCCTGCTGCCCCTCTACTCCCTGCTGCCCTGAGGCTAGGCCTTGGTTGGCCTTGTGGGAAATTCGGCCCTGAATATCCCTATCTAAAAGGAGGAAGAACTTTAGGGTCAATGCCATTTTTACATGGCAAATCTTCAAATGCAGCACAGTTAACTGGCTCTTTGTGCTACTTCTTCCACCCCCAGTCTGAGCTCTGCTGCTAAATAAATGACTGGCACCACAAACCAATGTGTTTGCATCTACAAAATAAATTTAATTATGCATTATGTATCAATGAATTTAGAGCTGCATTCACCTGTGTCTTTTATATCTTACTAGACTTTAACTTTAAAGGGAAACCTGCACCAAGAATAATATATGGGGATTACCAATACTAACTTCCTTGTCTGTTTCTGAACTCAATGATTTCTGAATCACTAATCTGGAATACACATACAACAAGTAAACAGCTGATCTCAAAAACTATGCAACTAGTATTTTCAGAAAGAAAGGGCTCAATGATGACAGTCTGCACATTTTTAAAGCATGTTTCCTTAATTAATTCCCCACATTTATAATGCAAGCAACTCACTGTTCTCCCCTTTAAAGATACTTAGCAGTACAGTACAAGATATATTATATTAGCAGAACATACCAATGAATACAGTAGCCTCAGTGTGGTAGTATCCATCAGGCTGTCTTTCCTTATCCATTGAGCAAAGATCAAGTCTCGACACTGTTTGGTCTCCAAAATGATGTTTCCTGAAGGTTCTGTACAAACTAGGGTAAATCACTATTCCCTAAAATAGAAGACATTAAAGCGTTATATATATGTAGCGCTACCCCCGTAGGAGCCGCTGGTGTAACGGCTCCCCTCTGCACCAATGTACCACCCAATGGTGGATCCACAGCACACCAACACACCTTTGTAGAGTGTTGTACAGGATTTAATTGCTAACTAACACAAAATAAGTCTCTTGGTAAATTATCAATCACACACAATACAATAAATGGTAAACCAATGCACTCTGATACCCAGTGACCGCGGCTATCTATCACCTATACGGAGACCTGTGATGTCAGACTGTCTCAGTAGTAAAGCTAGGAATCGAGGAATCAGACAATAATATCTCCCCTTGGAAGTATCACACCCCCTCTAGACTACTGGTCAGTAGTAATGTCCTAGGCTAGCCAACGTTGGGGCCCATACTGTGTAGCAGATGTGTAACAGTACATGGTCAGTTTGGCCCCAGAGGCCTCTCACCGCTCCCAGGGTTGTCTGGAAAGATGTCGTCTTTCACCAGTAGATGGAAGTCCCTCTTTCGTCAAAGCGACTCTAAGGAGGAAGGAGAAGTCATCTATGGCCTCTTGCTACCCCTCACCGCTCATCTAGGGTTTTCTGGAACACATCACCACTCATCTAGGGTCATCTGGAATCTCAGACACGATCACCGCTGGCTCCGTCCACCTCCGCCCCCACTCAGCTTAGCTGGACTGGGTCACTCCAGTGACTGGATCGGTCACACAACCAGGCCGCTATATCCCCGCCGCTGATGCGTCACTAGGCCTCCCTTCAGGTGCTCAATCTCTGCCTCTTCGTTTCAGCAAACTAACAACAGTCTCTCAAGTACTTCGATGTAGAGCCTGTGTGTCCCTGACTGTCAAAGGCGACCACACAGCTCTGTTACAGGCAGTCTTTGCTCACGCTCTCTCACATCGATCTGGACACTTCGGATCTCAGTCCCAGACTGCCCACGCTCAGCCGTTACAGTATATAGTCCTCCCCCTTCCTTTCGCACAGTATCCTGGGAGTTGCAGTTCTCAAGGTCCTTTCTGCAATTTATCCATATCTGCTCTGTACTGCCATCCCCATAAGTTTATATATATATATATATACACAGTATATGCACATATATACTGTATATATACTGTATACACTTCCAATATATACACATATATATTGGAAGTGCTGAACAGATATGATTGTATGCTTTATGGGGAAATGAGAGCCTTGGTTACCATTATGGGTACAGCCTTACACTAAAGCTTGTTCTTATAGCAAATATGTTTTAATTTAACTTCTGCTTTCAGATCTTTTCACCTGCAAGTAGTACACCCTCTCCCTCTGTTTAAGCCTCTTCCTTGTTTCCTTGTCTGTTCCTTGTTTTCTTGCTAATTAGTGTCACAGTGCTAATTTGATGGGTTTTGCTGCACTCTCATATTTGTTTGTTAATGCAATAATCACATACTTTTTTCTGCAGGGACACTGTCTGCCTTCTGTCTAATTCCTGTTTTATGTATTACCATTTGGAAGACATTCAATAGAAAGTCTTAGAAAAAAAACTGATAAAACACAGCACCAAAACTTTATACATTTAAATGTGAGCTGTACTAAATTACGACATATTTATAAAGTAATAGAAGATTGTGAATCTTGTTTCCTAAAAACATGCACATTTTTTCCTCTCTGTTTTTTACAATGCAGCCTGTTCTGAAGCACTGCCATTGGGCTCAGTGTTGTGACCTCAACCTCCTGTTTCCTCTTCACCCTTTGCCCATATCATACTCTGAGATCACCTCCTACAATCCTCCAACTTTAAGAATCTTGCTTTTCAAGCTTAAGTACTAAGATAACTCTTCCTTGACAGAAAACTGTCACCCTGTGAAGTAGTGATTTCTAAGCAGGGCTTTATCCTGCAATTAAATAATATATAATAAAAGGCAGGGGCATAACTAGAAATCACATGGCCCTATGGCAACATTTTGTATGGGGCACCCCCCCCCCCCCCCC